GTCGGCAGAAGGCTGTAGCGTGCAATTTTTGCACTGGAGGGACTCGCTCCTCCGGGAATTAAAAGGTCCGCGAAAGAAGATGCATCTCGCTAAAATGGCTACCGCATCTTGCCCGTGGTTGCTGTTGCTGGCACGGCCCTGCGCCGCACTTGCTATAATGTTCGCATCCTCACTGCCCTCTTCCCGGTGTTTCTCCTCCTGGCGATGGTGCTTGCCCTCACCCTCGTTTCGGTTCGTCCGGTTAGCTTTGTGATCATCGTTCTCGTTCCGCCACGCCCGTGTTTGCCGTGAGGCGAATTGCGTGCCATGTGCGGTCAGCGGACATGAGTCTTGATGATGCATCTTAATGCATTCGTTGCTAACGAGCACCGCGTGGTGATGCATGGAAGTTGTCGCCGTCCCGTTGTCAGGCCCTGCGTTCGACTAGCGTGGGCTCTCGCTTGGCCTCGCTGGACCTTCGTCGTCATGCAAACGGAAGGATCCGGTGAAAAAAATCGCCCCTGCCTACCTCGACCCCTTGGCCTCACTTCAACCCTTTTACAAAAAAATAAAATGGCGCGACAGGCATCCTGCTAGGGGCAAGCAAACAATCAAGCAAGCCAGAGTCCTGAAACAACCGTCAATCCGGTCAGTATGTACAAGTGAAAATATCAACAACACATTGCATCACCATGCCCGCGGCTGTGGGACGTTGAACCTGATATACACTGGACACGGAACTGATGTGCAGAAATATCGCAGCAGATGTGCGCCACAAACTCACGGGCATGAAAAGCAAATGAAGGAAGGTATTCCTCATCCGACAATGAATGCACAAATTGTCGCTCAACAGGGGAAATACTGCCGATCCAGATTTGCCTCCTAACCTCGCAGGGGCAGTATCGTAAAGCATGTAGGAAAGTTTGTACGCCATCCCCACATAGGCACGGATGCATGACATGAGCAGCACGCCGAGAACTCCTCCCAGCAGCAAAAGGATGATGACCCCATTTCGCCAACGTCGACTCTTTTATTGCCCACAGATGGGCGTAAACGAAACCCATGCACAAAAGAACTGAAATCTCGGCGCAAATGGCATCCTCGACCGTCACTGGCACTCCTCGCAGAAGAGCTTCCAAGCATTGCGAGACAGAGGTCGAACAGCTTCAGGATCAATCAACTCCAAGCCCAATCTCGCACAAAGCAGGATGGGGGATGCCCAAACGTGATATGTCGTTGGCAACTTGACACACCCGAGAATCACGTTGGGTCGCTGCAAACTGAAAGACACGGGCCGCTAGGCTCCGATGAACCCCATGCGCAGAAGCGACAAACAACCGTCCAAATAGACGAAACGGATGCCACCCCGACTCGCCCAGAACTGCAGCACCAGGGGCACCACATGGCCACAGCAGCAAACGTCTACCAAACTGACGTAGCTTCCCAGCTTTTTGAAGGATGACTGGTTAAGGAAGTGCGAGCCGTACAACATAAAAATCAGAACACATGACTGAAGCATACTTCGCCGAAAGGCTGCATGCAGCTGACGATCGTCAGCCCAAGATACCGACTGATGAAACTCGCCAATGCATCTTTCAACAAGGCGGTCACACGGCGTGCTCCATTTCCGGGATGACTGGAAAATAACACCCAAATAACAATATTCAGACACGCTTGGCACGGAATGGCCTTGCAGCGTGAAGTGACAGTTACGCGCAACATTGTGTCAGGCCCAATCCGGGCACCAGGCCAACACCCGATAAAATGCCGTGCCGGGCCCAGCTGTTTATACGCCCTAGTCGAACGTCTTTCCCAGCAATTGCAAGCCATTTACCCACTCCGGGTGCCTTCTCGCACTGTCTCGTCAAAGTCCAGCATAGTCTTGCCACCAGGTTGGCTCGCGCACCTGATGATCAGAAGCACCAACGAAATGAGGGCATCAGCGTCCATCAAACGAAGCTTGTTGTAGGAAGCTCATGCCATCTTGCCTGGTTCAGATCAATTGCGCAGAAGGTTTTCTGAATTGTGTCGCGCGGAAGTCTTGACTGGTTGAACAAACTTCGGACTTTTGTAAGTACTCTGAGCCTGAAAGTCACGACGATCACACATGCTTCGCATGCTCTCCGAGAAAACTACACGAGTGGTCAAAAGCTACCAAAACTGTTCTAGCAAAATAAGAGTACAGGGCATAGGGGAAAATGTTGATCACCCCGCCCGGACATCCCCAGTGACTTAGACTGGAAGATGTTCGCATCAACATACAGCGTACGATACATCACAGTAGCGACCACTTCTTACTACAGTACACGGCTCAACAAGTCAGCGTAGCTACGATCTAAAGTCGTCTATACACTACGCGCACTCCATCAAAGGCTCGGACAGCCTATGACGAAATGCAAGCTTGACTCACCCAAGCGTAGGCGTTGCCAGTTCAAGCGCTCCTGTCAAGAACCAAACAATTCATGGCGGATCATGCATCATGCTTAGCATTGATGCCCGGGATTATAGCGGCCTAGTTACCGCTGAAAGCTCATCACGAGACTTTCTTTCGGAGTCATGACCGCTCCACGGTCAACACAATCGTTGTTCAGACATAACTAGATTGACACCAAAATGGTGTATCGTGCACAGTCTTGCACGCTCCAAGGATGGTTCACACATCAAGGTCAAGAATGATTCACAGGTGGTTTTCTGAAGCTATGTACAATCGTCGCTGGTCGTCAATGACACACACACAAAGGTAGTGCCACTGACTATGTACAGATGGCCAATGCATCAGCATCATGAGCATTCAAGACACAAGTGTGTTGCGACACCCAATCCAAGGATCATCACTTTTGTTTCTTGCTGCCACCAAAGCAACTTCCGCACGGCTTGTAACCGCGCTCACGGGCTGTGGCGATTCCAAGCTTCACGATCTCATCAGCATTGTTCAGACAAGTGCAATTCCTGCTTTTGTGGTACGACTTGCCTCGTCTCAAAGTGCAATAAACATGCAACTCAGGCACATGCTGGATCACATCGTTGGAACCGCGTGCGGCATCGCCATCTATGAAGATAGCACGGTTCGGCTCTGGCATTGGCAGCGTTCTCTCTCTTGTTCGATCTTTCGCCTCGTGGTATTCTCCCCAAGCGATACGGTCGTAGTTCATTTCAGCGATCAATCTGCTCAAGCGCTCGTTCTCCTGCTCAGCGGCATGCAGTGCGGCTCGCACCCGTCGCAGGCACATCATGATTGCCAGGCAGAACGCTGAAAGGCTGCAGGTGAAAGTCAATGGAACCCAATTCCACCAACCGTCGGTTCCCTGCTCGTACACTTCCTCGGTGGAGGTGCTGGCATTGCTCACGTTCAAGGTGATGTCATCTTCATTGCCCTCTGTGGTCCATAGCCGCCCAAGGCTCAAAGATTTCAAGGCAAGAAGGATAGCACATGTGCAAATCACCAAGACGGCCAGCGACTGCGCCCACCGTGCATCATCATCGGTCTGCACACCGACTTCACGCCTGGTACCACTGCTCTCGGCACCTTGCACAAGCGACAGCATCATCACCATCATTGCAGCGCTGAAGCTCTGCATCCCGTTGCTCTTCAGCGTCTTACACACAAGTCTGCGAACTCTCTGTGTTTCACGCTCACGCTGCAACTGCTCCAACAACGCATCATGCTCTGCACGGCCTACCTCCTCTATGCAGTCACCCGCACAGCACACAAAGTCATGCATGCACAACAAAGCACGTAGACGGGATCCTGAGCACGGCACCTTGGTTCCCAGATCCGATGGGTTCCTTCTCCCATCGACCGGCTGTACACGGAGTGTGCGATCGGCTGTCTTCTCCTGCACCCAGAGGAACCTTCCATCAAGATGCCTGATCTTTGATACACCCTGCTTCAAAGATATCTGGCGACAGGAGCTGTTATCAGTCCTCATCAAAAGATCTACCGGTAGTTCAAGCAGGTATTCAAGAACTCTTTTCAGGTAGATGCCGTCGCACGCCGCGGATACCAGGGCGTAAAATTCGCTTAATTGTTCAAGTTAAAGCCACCTCGAGCCAAACTGCTGCAGGTTAGGGTTGGGCGAAGGGCACAGAGCAACGTAACTAAACCCTAAACCAAACTCGCGAAGCTCAGAAGGTCTCACTCTTTTCACGTGGTGACTTTGGGCGACAAGTCGGTTTGCACTCGCGTTGCGAGTGCACCTTTGTGCGGTACACACTGAGACGGCAAGGCTGCCGCACTGCAAAAGGTTTGAGTGACACAGCAGCAGGAGCTGCACAAGTAGGCGCGGTTGCAACTAAGCTGGCTGTCGTGAGCAGAGCAAGCTTTCTGAACAGGGCGGGTGGGCGGGAACTAAAAATTTTTGCAAGTGCAACACCCATGTCATGAGAGCATTGCTGTTTCATGCAGTAACATGCAATGCCTGTCTCAAGCTTGAAGCCAACAGGCAACGGATGGCTGAAGAGTCCTTTGAACAAGACGCAAGCTGCAATCTGCGAAGTATCATCTGCCAAAAAGGCAAGCAGCCCAAAAAGGCGGAAACTTACTAAACTCGAGGTGGCCAAATTCTTTTCCTTACACCGGTAAAAGAATTCAGAAGAAAACTTTCACATTTAAGGCGCTAGCAGCGGAGCGCTGCCAACACGCTTAATTGTTCAAGTTAAAGCCACCTCGAGCCAAACTGCTGCAGGTTAGGGTTGGGCGAAGGGCACAGAGCAACGTAACTAAACCCTAAACCAAACTCGCGAAGCTCAGAAGGTCTCACTCTTTTCACGTGGTGACTTTGGGCGACAAGTCGGTTTGCACTCGCGTTGCGAGTGCACCTTTGTGCGGTACACACTGAGACGGCAAGGCTGCCGCACTGCAGAAGGTTTGAGTGACACAGCAGCAGGAGCTGCACAAGTAGGCGCGGTTGCAACTAAGCTGGCTGTCGTGAGCAGAGCAAGCTTTCTGAAGGAGCACAGCCGGGCGGCGTGCTACACTGCAAGCTACTTCCCCCTTTTAACCTAGAGTGTCCACAAGTGATTCAGCCAAGGAAACTAACGCAGTCACGAAGCGCCTGAGAGGCGTCGTCAGCGACAATCGTGGCTCCATTGATTTCAAGAAATTCACAAAGCTCGCGGGACGGTTTGTCGGCGATGTTTGAAGGCGATGGAACCCTAGAGAACCACGTCCTAATCTCCCCTGCATCTTCCAGCGAGAGCAAAGCCGTTGCAAGGGCCTTCGCTATGACGCTCTTGCCCCGACCCGAGATGCACACATCTCTCGAAGTGTTGTTGTCCAGGTAACACACAAGCGGCCGGTTTCGGAAAAGGTCTTTCCAGTGTATCAACGATACAAGTAGGGCTAAGAATTCTAGCTCGAAGATGATTGTCTTTTTCATACCCTCACCAAGCTTCTTCCGCACTTGCTCACCAACACACATGGAGAAGAATCCCAAGCACTCACCTTTGGGTCCGAAGACCACGGCACCCAGCCCCGCGCACCAAGCAGCGCCGGGTTCGTAGCAGGCGTCCGTAAAGAGAAACAAGGAGTCCTGATGAGTTGCCGTGACCACATGTGGCCTACTCTCCTGCAAACAATTGTGGAAACGAAGCAGCGAGTCCCACAAGTCTCCATCAATCACCTCATCATGTGTCGAATGCACATGTCGTGACACTGCCTGCAAGCTCAAGCGCGACGCCCGACCGAACAAGAAGCTATCGCAAAATTGCATCCTGCCGCGGAGGCGTTGTGCTTCCGCCCTTGTCAGTTTCCGCGAGGCTAACAAAGTAGAAATTACGGTGGTTAGCTCAGTGATCCTAGTTGGGGTGTTGGAAATGGTGACTAGCCCCTTAGGGGACTGGGCAAGATTAAACAAGACACCCAACGCTTTGAAGGATGTACTAAAATCGACGGCTTTCGAGCCGCATTCGTCGAATAGCCAACCTAGAAGTCTGAAGAAGGTGCAAACGGTTGCCTCCGTGTGTCCGATGTCACAGGACTTGGCGATTGTAATAAAATCGTCAAAGAAGACGCTCCAGCACAGGCTTAGCGCCACACATCCCAGCCACCACACGGCTGTGGCTACTCGAAGGAATCCGAACACTGACCGTGAAGCTCCAAACGGAAGTGCAAGCAGTTGATCAAGCTCAATGGAACCCGCAGTGGGGTTCCAATGAGCGACGTAGGAGTGTCGCAAAGATTCTGGATGCACCGGCAGCTGTCTATAGGCAGACCGCAAATCATACGGTCGGCCTTGAAGGGGCACTCCTGGGGCGAGTCGCATGAACGTCAACATGGCAGCAGCCACGACGTCTGGCCCGTGGGGTTTAGGAGACTCCTGAACCGTAACCAATTCGTTAACCCCGCTGAAGCTCAAGTCATCCACTAACCTAATCTTCTCCCCCTGCCTAAGCCCGAATCTACGACTAATCAAGCTGTCCTGCGGCAGTGATTGCAAAGGAATGGGTCCCGTAGCCCATCCCTTTTCCCGCTCTTCGACCGTCTTCTCATGGACCACGGCGTCCACATCACCTTGCGGTTTGATGCACTCCAGAACTCTAGACCTAGCTCCAGGGGCCCATTGTTCAAGATCAACAGCTTGGCGCACCGCTGGCTTAAATGTTGGCGGGAATATTCCAGTGTTCGGCGTCTGGCCTGTGAGCCGGATGCCGCGCGTGATCTCATCGAAAACTTCGGGATCCGGATACTCATAAGCGGAAAGGAGTTCCTTGAACAAGAGCAAGCGTTTCGGTGCCAAAATGCTGGACACATGGGGTGCCAAAGATGCTTTAAAGGAAGCTTCTTCACTTTCCAACTCCTTTGCCCTTGACAGCCACGTCTTGAAAAAGAGCGCTCGGTCTCGAGCTAATTGCTCGGCTGAAGAAGATGCGTTCCGCTGGATGGCATCCTGCAGTACCTGCGGGAGAGCAGCTTCCCACTTGCAAGGGTGTCCGGCCCTGATTGCCGCAGCCACAAACTCCTGGGGATCCCTAGGAACACCCCAAGCCGACACCCACTCCTCACCCGAAAACCCCGAACCAACCCCCTTTTTAACCGTCTTAGTAACCCGAAGCAACTGAGCTCCAGCTGGAAGGACACGCAAGGGGCATTGAAGGTGAGGAGGCAATTCAAGGTCAGACTTTAAACGCTCCATGCGGGCAACCGGCCAGTCCATGTGACCGCGCACCAACAGGACTTGCTGATGTTCAGAGACAAGGGCGGGGAACTTGGAGGCCTTGGGCTGGGACATTGTCGCAGCTCGTGTACTTGCCACCTGAGGCGCGGCGAAGAGGAAGCGCCGGGGCACAAAGCCGTCGGCCAACTTTGCAGCTACCTCCCAAGTGTATGTTCGATCCCAAAGCTGAGCCGCCTCAGAGGAGACAGCAGGCGCGCCATGTGCAGCGGTGGCAAAGCCATCGAAGACATCACGATTGCTAACCAACAAAGAGCTGGCGTTGGCATCGGCACAATCAGCAAGAGGGAAAGCTCTCAAGTAAGGGCAGAGGCTTCGCACCTTGCGGCCAGCTGCAGAGCTCCAGAAGGTTGAAGTCGCCGGCAACTCAATGGACACAAGAAGGGCAAGTTCCACAGCTCGAGAGACGAGGTATTGAACAGCTCGTTCCAAGGGTGCAGGCATCACAACTGGCGGGGCAAAATGCACACCGACAACATGATCGGCTTCCAGCCAGGAGGACAGAAGCTGCTGATTTGTCACTACATCAAGAACCTTAGGCGGGGCTGCAGGTGCAGACACTTGACTGGAGTCGACTGCTAAAGATCCAGAGGCCCCACGAGCCCTGAGCTGGGCCGTCAGACGACCCGCGCCGGAGAAAATTTCAAGTACAACTGGAAAGCTGGACACCCCTGATGGCGCTGCGAAGACATCGCCAGTGCCTAAGTCGGGAAGGTTGAACCCTAGTTTCAAAAGGTCGCCTATCAGGTCGGGCGAGAAAGCCTGGTAGCCCTTAACAACGAAACCCACAAGAATGCACCTAGTACCTGCCCACGGCTGAGTGCAATGCAGGCTGTGTGAGTCAAATTGCACAACTCCATCAGCAAAAGAGTGAATGCATCCTGGTTCCAAGCTCGGATCAAGTGGGCACTGCACGGTGCCGCCGCCTTGAACCCAGATGCCGCCACCACTGAAACTTGATAAGGCAACCGCTGTGTTGAGCGATTCACAGGCGTTATTGAGGTCTCTGTGCAACCACGCAGACTGATTCGTAAGCAATGCAAGACTGGTGAAAACCGCATCGTCGCAGGCGGCCCGCAGCACAACGGCCAGTAGGGCCGATACCGCAGGAAAAAGTTTCATGTTCAACCTGGCTCCAAGGTTGCCACCGAGGACGTATGCGCCAGAGGTCCAGGAATGGCCTCCAGGATTTACGCCATCGGAACGCGCGGGAGCTTCAGATGGAAGCAAACTGACAAGTTCAGCTATGCAAGTGAATTCAAAGGACTTGGAGTCAAGAATCGTCCTGGCGAGAGCTTCCGCAGGATGATCAACGAAAGGAACCTGCCGGCCAAACTCTTCACACAAACCTGAGAAGAGGACGGGATCAAGCTTGACCGGGCCGTGCCCTTGGAAGATGTGAGCATCACCCGTGGCACAACCAGAGGCCGCAGCCTCCGGTGATTGTCACTCCGTATGGTTGAGGAGCGCGTGATCACCGAAGCATTTTGCACACACATGCTTCCTGGTGCAACCAGGCGTATTGCACTTCCCATGGATACTGTAAGTGAAGCATATGGGCTCACCCGCCGGCGTGACGGCCACACCGCCCCGGTCCCGAATGAATTTAGGGATGCTGATCCACGGTGCGGCTTTGCCTTTCTTACCCTTTCCTTTGCCCTTCTTTGCCTCCGGGTTCACTGAGGCAGCAGCGGCATCCGGTTGCACTCGCGGCCGCTTCCAAGGTCGGCGAGGAGTGTTGCCCCCCTTGCTAGCCAAATGCATCAAAGCAAAACTGACCTGGTAGGACTCGAGTGCTGCATGCAAGGCTTCGTCCATAGGCCGTGCGCCACTGGGTTCCTGTTTGGGTTTGATGTTAAGCTCAATGAGACGGGTAAAGACCAACCTATCGGCTTCAACGATCTGGCTCACCGAAATGCGATTATGGTTTGGCGGCGGGTCACGATGCATATGACCAAACAGCTTGGTCACATACTTATCATATGCATTCCAGCTGACAGCTTGGGCAAATGTGTAAGCTAGGCCCCGACGCCGCAACGCCTCCTGGACCTGAAGGGCTGAGGATGCAGGCATCGAGAATTCGTCCTGTGTTTCTTTGATGATGAGCCGACTCTGGTCGATTTCCACCTGTCGAGATGAATCCTTGGCATGCGTGACCTCATGCAGGCGACTGACACACTTGTCGGGGGAAAGGTATTTCAATTGACCGACAGCTTCCTGATGAGAGCATTCGTCCAAAAGCTTCCGCCCCGGCTCCAGAGGCCCTTCAATGTTGAGGCCACTCAACTCATCCCGCAACTGCTGAAGCCGGCGCTCACGCTCAGCCTCTGGAACCCGCTTACTAGCTGAATCAGGTTCGGTCACCTGAGCTCGGAGCTGCGTGAGTGCTAATGTTTGTGCCTCAAACAATAACCGCTTCAACGATGCAAGATCAGCTGCTGATGCTGCTGGCACATGATTGCGGCACCAATCGGTGAACTCAGCCTCCGGTATCAACTGGCCTGGTTGGCCCACTGTGTAAGCGAGCTGCCCCAAGGTCCTGAACCCATGGCGCCGCAACGCCTGAACTGAAGCGTCTGACAGCCGCACCTCAGCTGCACGCTGCACGAAATGGGCTTCTGATTCCACCAACGAAGTCATAGCGGCGCCGCAGGACCTAATTTATCCACAAGTGTCATATTCCACTGAACAATCAGACATGACAGTACTGGTGCATTCTCGGTGGAGCTGAGAATCCCAAGATCACAAGATGGCACATGCCATTTACTCGAGCCCACGGCGACTTGACAAACCATTCGACTATGTCGAATCTTTGGCAGGGCCATGCCCACTTGCCGAGGAGGAGGGCAGCCCACATAAGGCACGTGCCCTCCACTTCCTCCCGATCGCATGTTCGCTCAAGAGGCTCGTAGCCCACAACAGCACCAGCGGCGCATGCCAACTTCAGGTGCACAACTCACACACTCATGCGCAGCCCCTCGGCCATAGCTCAGAACTTTTCTCTCTCAAGCCGAGTTTCGCTCACAGGTCTTGCACACGAGGTTTCCCACGCGCGTGATGTCCTCTACCAAGTCATAAGCTTGGGTTCTGGGCCTTCCACACATCAAAATCTTGTCACGATAAACACGGTGCAAAATGTGGGAGCGACGATGCACTACCCACCCACCTTCAGGCTCGAGACGCTTATCATCCGCAAGTGCTGCTCTGCGTCTTTTCATGGGGGACCCCTCTGGTTCTCCATCAGAGTCCGACTCACTGCTACTACTGGAACTCGAAGTGGAGCTGCTACTCTGGCCTTCATCCCCAGAGTCAGGTTCCACAGCCCCCGACCGTTCATCTGCCAGCGGTACGCTGGAAGTCTCCGCGGGCGCCGCGAAATGTCCTGGCGAAGCAATCTCAGCAGCTGGCGGCGGGAACGCCCACATCAATGCCCTTGATGCGTCTGGGGCAAAGGATCCGTTCACGATGAACTTGATGAGGGCCTCAAGCTTTTGCACATGCGGCAAACTAAGTTCCACCGAATAAATAGCCTCAGTCCCTTCAGTCGCGTAGGCGTGCCTTCCTAGGCAACTCCGAGTCAAGCGGTCAAAACCCGCCTTACTGGCCCAGGAAAGGCAGGTCCTTTTCATGCTGTGGCTCGTAACTCGATCCCCTTCACTAGGGGCATCTCGGCTGAGGCCGAGCAAGAGCCGAACGAAAACTGACACTTCGTCGGATGTGATGCTACGTCTGCATAAGCTGAGGGAGTCAAAACTCCGAGGCGGCCGAAATAACGGACCGCCAACCTCGCCCCTCAAGGTTAAGTTCACAGCCACAAAGGCGTCCTGGGCCGCGTGTATCCAAGGCCTGCTGTGGATTCCTGCAACTGGAATAACAATCGGGAGCAGCCGAAGTTTCTTCGCCGTGGCCCTGGATGTTTTATGGTGCTTGGTATAGATGATAATGTAACCTTGGGAGCCTTGCCGTGACCGATCGGTGTCCTGCGGCACATCCCACTCAATATGGGAAACCCTCTTCAAGTCACTATGGCGGGCACGGCCGTACAAGGCAACCAAGCAGTAAGCACAGAAAGCACGGTCCCACCTGCTCGTATGTTCACTGTGTAAGGCTTCATGAATCACGAGGATTTGATCCACCGTCAGAGGCGCTGCCTGCCTGACAACCCCAGCCTGACCAGCTAATTTCTCTGCGAGGCCGACACACTTGCGGCTGGGCTCCTCCACGCGGGACAACCCCAACACAAACTTGCAAAACCTCACGGAGGCCAAAAAGGATGTGGCACTCGAGGCAGCCGCCCCGGACGATTCCAAGAACTTCAAGTACTTCCAGTAAGCTGCATCACAAAAGGCAGACACATTGGAGTTAGACACAACATCCAACCACCTCAAGTAAGCAGCAAACGTGTTGGCACGCTTGGTGATAGTGTGCACCGACCTGGTACCAAAGCAAGCAATGATCTCCTCCTCAGTTTCAGGAGCAAGGCCGAGCTCCCTGGCGTAACGAAAAACCACCAAAGCCCATTTGGCGGTTGCGCGGTGCAGCAACCTTTCCTCTTTCAATAGATCGTCATCGTCACGGAATTTCCGAATGGCATGCTCACAAATATTTCCTTCAAGCTTCAAAGCTGATGGCTGCTTAGCCGAGCCAAGGTCCGCACGCGAAGCCCCTGGCAACGGAGGAGGCGTCCCCTTTAAAGCAAACGATGCCGGAACAAGATTTGTGAGTGCTGCTGCATCATCTTCTGAAAATATCGCTTTCATGAGAGGGGTTTCCCAAGGCAATGGCAAGGCTGCAACCGGATCCTCAGCAAAGCGGGCCACAGCCTGCTGCACAGCTCGATCCACAGATACCTGAGCAGGCACTGCCGATGATGACACTCCTACACCCTTTGAAAGTTGATTTCCTGACTCCGGCGTCACCACACACTGCCAGCCACTAATGTCACTCCCTTCTGCAATGCCCGCGGCCTCCGTGGCCGCATCCAAGTTTTCTGAAACTGGTCTGGGCTCCTCTGCTACACTGAGTGACGAGACACTCAGAGCGTCCCAGGGGCAAGGCTCCGGGCTGCACTCAGCCCACTTATCTAAGGACCCTAGATCATCTACGTGGGAAAGGGAGGTGGCGTTGCACGACGGCTCGCGCTCGGCGTCTGAAGCTGGGGGAACCTCACCGAGTAAAGCATCCACACCATCAGTTGACCCCACAAGCGAACTAGCAAAGCCCCGAGAAACCGAAACCGAACTAACACCCCCCCCTTTAACCATGGTCTGCACTGGAGGAACTGGCGGCTTCACGGCCGCAGCCGGCAAATCAGAGGGAGCCCCTGCTGCAGGGCTCTGTGGGACCTCGTGAGATAAGGCAGCCGCAGCACCCGAAGGCGCGTCGTCCTCGAGCTGTTCACGGGTCACTCCGGCCAGTTGCTGTAAAAGGGCAGCGCTGAAAGAGTTCATGAGCACAGGCTAGGACCCCTATTGAAGCAAAGGCAGACGCAAGGCCAGGCGATACAATGAGTGCCGCGCAGGGTCGAGAATGTCAGGCGAGCTCTGCAGGAGCTGCACGCGGTCTGAGCAAGACAAGAGTTCGCACAGGACTGCACAGGCGCGGGGCTGATACACCACGTCTCCTAGGTCAACAGCACCTAGGGCAGAAGAAGCGGCAGTGCTGGATGTAGTGCTATGTTGAGGCGACTGGGCTTGCAGCAACACTCGAGCTTCCAGTCTAGCCAAGCGCACAGCCACTTGATCCTGAAACTCACGAACCTCGGCTTGCAACTCCGCAAGAGCTGCTTCCATGGGCCGGCCCAGCCGGCAAACTAAAAATTTTTGCAAGTGCAACACCCATGTCATGAGAGCATTGCTGTTTCATGCAGTAACATGCAATGCCTGTCTCAAGCTTGAAGCCAACAGGCAACGGATGGCTGAAGAGTCCTTTGAACAAGACGCAAGCTGCAATCTGCGAAGTATCATCTGCCAAAAAGGCAAGCAGCCCAAAAAGGCGGAAACTTACTAAACTCGAGGTGGCCAAATTCTTTTCCTTACACCGGTAAAAGAATTCAGAAGAAAACTTTCACATTTAAGGCGCTAGCAGCGGAGCGCTGCCAACACGCTTTCCGCACTACTGAGGCTTACGCAGCGTTGGCTCTTACAGGAAGTATAGACGCAGCAGCTGTTCAAAAAGAACGAGCTGCTGCTCATCGACCGGCGAGTCTGCTTGTTGCCGCTCCAGTCTGCATCACAGAACACCTCTAGCCGAACGCCATCAAGACACTCCTCGGCATCAGGTGGCTCAAGAATGCTTGCTCGATCGCCCTTGGCATGCACCTTGCTTGCGTAGCCGGCCGTTCCAACAAGATACCCTGCAAGGCGTTGCGCAAACTGCCAGCCGCGCTCGGTCGGTGCTTTAAGGTTCTGGGCTAACACCCTCACCGTGAAAGCAATGTCACTCCGATCCTGTGACACATACATGCCTATCCCAACGGCGCTGCGGTACTTGGCTGCTCGAGCAGAGTCCAGCTCCTTGCTTGCATCCGGCATGAGAAGCTCCTTGGTGCACGGCGTAGGGAACTTTCGATGCAACGGCACATCAAGAAGGTTTGCCATATTCACAGCATGGTCCGCAAGTGGCTTTATCAAGATCCCATCATCAAGAATTATGTGCTCTCTTTTAAGAAACTTGAAGCTGTCTCCAGGCATGCAGGCTACCTCGTAGGACACTTCAAAGGTTTTCTCAAAGCTTGGGACTAGCTCTTTAAGAAGCCACTGGACAAACCCAACCAGGCACAAGTCATCTACATGTATCAACCCGGGGTTTACACGGCCCTTGGGATCAACGATCTTATACACCGATGGGCACTCAGCACAGCTTGTGAGCTTGTGCTCCTCGCGGATGTAGTTCATGATGAATTGATGCCATCGGGCTGTCCCGTCCCGCTGTCCAGGGAGCATCTTGAGAAACCGCATTCGGCTTGCAAATCCAGGGATCTTGGCCAGCATGGGACGCTCCTGAGGGACGTTAAGAAAAGCGTCACGCACATCAAGCGCGATCACTCCTATGCGGTCGGTCTCATCAGGAGACTCTCTGGCTCGCCGGCTGAGCTCGCAATACAGCCACGGCAAAAGCTTGGTGGTGATGGCTGACGTTGCTGGTGCATAAAGATCCTCTCTGTCCCGCTCCAGCCACCGGTACTCGCGAGCTACCAGCCTGGACCGTCTAAAGTACATCATCTTGTCTTTGTGCAGTTTCTTACGCCATGTCCTCACGAACTTCGAAGACAATTCCTTGTGGTCCGACGTGTCCACTTCATCCCCGATCTCCTCAAGGACGCCTTTGCGAAGCAAGCGCTGCACCTCGAAAGAATCAGCGATTCGATCAAGCTCCTCTTGCTGTTGCTCGGACAAATCAGGGATCGAATCATACCAAAGACACTCTTCGTTGTCAAGGGCATGGCTGTCTTCAGTGTTGGTCACATCCCATTCAGCTGCAGCCTCATCTGACAACTCAAGATACCTTTCAGCATCCTCCCACTCAGGGGTTGATTCAAGAACCTCATCATTGATGGGAAGCTCCTCAGTGCCAACCCTAGCGATGCGCTGGTACTTGGATGCCTGCCCACTGGGCTGCAAATCGATAGCATCTTGCGC